ATTTTATACAGATTGCGATGATGATGTGATGTGTCCAGTGCTTCAAGTTCTTTGGATTCTTCAAGTATACAACCAACTACAAGTGAAATCAGGTCTCAAAAAAGGAAAAGAGAAGATAAAACTCTAGACAATTTATTTAACAAATCGACACCAGCTCAAGAACAAACAAATTGCCAGGTTTATTTATGCTACAAATGCAGCATTTAGACACTGTGGAACATCCAGAGTTCATTAAAATGGTTCAGAATTTTCGGCCAGAATATTTTCCTCCATCGAGAAAAGAAATTGCTTGTGGTTTATTTGAGAAAACATACATAAAAGAAAAAGAAAAATGCGCAGAAATATTAAAAGGTAAAATTGTCACATTAGGATTAAATGGATGGTCAAACATTCACAATGAACCGGTGATTTGTGTTACTGATTTGTGTTAACAACAAAAGATGAAACACATATTTAGCTCATCTGGCATTGCTCATACAGGTGAAAATCTTTATGATATTGCTGTTAAATCTATTAAGTTAAAACTAATTAAGTTAAAACTGTTATAAGTATAAAACTGACTGATCATAAACTTAAGTATAAAACTGTTAAGGAGACAAGTAATTCTTTTAGTTTAAAAAATTTATAAATTTTATTATGATTTCCAATCTTAGGTTTTTTTATTTTCACTTTTATATTAATGATGAGTAACTTTGACTAAAAAATCAATAATAACTTAAACTTGTTTAAATTTTTTTGTTCAATATTTTTTTTAATTTTTTTTTTACGTCTTTCATTTTTTTCTCTTTAGTTTGATAGAAACTACTTTAGTTTTTTTTCATTATCAAAGAAATCGTCATGAAGCCCATCTTCATAATTAGAAGAATTAGCTGTTTCATTTTTAAAAATGCAAAACACTGAGTATCTATCTGTACCACTTTCTTAGCAGGAATATGCCCAGCTAATTAGCTGTAAGTCTATTCAATATTTTCTAAATTAATAAATTCTTATTCTGTATTAACTTTAAAACAGTATTCATTAAATTATATGTCTCAGTTATGATATTTAACTGTTCTATAATTGTTCAAACAACGTACATTAATTAGCAAATTTACAAATTGCCGGGAATTATTTCTGGAATTACCATTTTTGAGAAGAATAGATTGTCATATAAACTAAACAGGGAATTAATCTTATATTTTCTAAATGAGTAGACTTTATTTTGATTAAACTTTCAAAGTTGTAGCTAAATTTCAGTTTGTTGCTTTTTAAATGGCAAATTTACAGGTTAAATTTTTAAATTTACATAAAGATTTGTATTTTAAAATTGATATAAAAATAAATTTATTAATAAATTAGCAATATGTTTAATAGTTTAAAAAGTTGTTTTGATTGTCTGTTTACTGTATAAAATGAATGAGCGATTTTCTTATTAAATATGTGATTCATAACACAGACTCTTGTTTACGGCCCTAATCAAATGAGTTTTTTTTAATTAAATTTTCACTTTGTTCTTATATTTATATCAAAAAAAAGATTATATCAAAAATATTAAAATGAAATAATAATGTTTAAATATTAATAATCGTATAAATTCGATACCATTTTTCATTATTAATTTTGTTTTGCAATTGTTATCTTCGCATCGCCAATAAATTGCGTCGCCCTTATATTTTCGATATATATTGAAGAGATAACTTTTGTAAAGCAAAAGATAACCATTTCTGGAGGATTTGATATATTTTAACTATGACATTTTCGAAAATGGCTCCAAAAAAAGGTGAACGGTATATGTTAACGAGAGTATACTCTCGTATATAAATGAACGGTGGTGAGGGGAAAATGTTTTTCTCTTTCAAGTGGTTTTCCTGGAGAAAAGGATTCTGTCCCCTATATAAAATCCCTCTATGGAAATAGTACCCTCCCCCTACAAACGGACCCTCGGTGCCACAGGTGTACATCATTAATCATCTTTTAGGTCTGAAATGGGTTAGGTGAAAAGAAGAAGACACCAGGGCACAGAGAGAAAATTGTTCGATTGGAGAGACTGTTTTAATTCTTAAAAATTTAAAAAAGCAAATGAAACGATAAGAAATTCAATAAAGATGTACTGAAAAAATTAGATCATCGTTATAAAAAGGCAATAACACAAGCCCACCTTCTTGCTTTTTTGTTGCATCCAAAAGCTGTCGATAAAGATGATGAAGATGATTACGAAGCAAATGAAAAAAAAGTGGCTTTAGAATATGCCAAGAAAATGCTTCCTAAAAATAACTTATTAACTCTGATATTAAAATTTTGTGCAAAAAGTTTTCCATTGCAAAGGTATCTGTATGTCTGTTTCAAAAGGAATTTATTGAAAATGTAACAGTTATGGAATGGTGGCGAATGCAAGAAAACGATATTAAGAAGTTTAATGCCGATGTGTTTAAGGAAGTTGAAATAATTCTTACTGCAAAAGCAACTACAGCGAATGTTGAGAGAATTTTTTCTACTTTTGGAGTTGTACAATCAAAATTGCGTAACAGACTGGGCTTAGAAAAAGCTGCAAAACTTGTTTTTTTTTGTTCAAAATGTTGAATCCTAAGTACTAAATCCTAAACTTGTTTTTCAGCGGCAAAAAAAAAAGTTTTTCTCTAAACTTTTCCTGTTTTTTTCCCAATCCTGGATTTAAATCTAAAAATTTTAATAAAATTTAGTGTTGCTTGATATAATTGCTCGTTCTTTATTTTAATTGTTCTTGGTAGTAATTTTCAATTTTTAAGTATGTATATAAATAAGAATGTCGGAAAAAACCTGATTTAAAAAAAAAAAAAAAACGTGTTTTTTCCCCAAAAAACCTGGTAATTTGCCAACCCTGATTCCTACTGATCAATGAATTTATATTTTAGCTTTTAGTTGGTCATTTTTTATTAAAGAAGACCTCGAGTAAAAATTATAAGTATTTGCATGGATATGAATTCAATGCATCACTTTCAACTTTAATTGAATAAACAACTAAATATTTTAAATATTAAACTACATTATTTCTTATAGATTTTGAGAAAACTATGAATTTATCATGGCGTAAAACTGTGAATTTTCAATGCTTCCAGTGTCTAGGTCAATCATAGTTACCAGTTCATTCAGACAGTTTTTATTCATAAGCTCAGTATAGGAAATATGAAAGTTATAGAAAAAAAAAAGTTTTAAGAAAGAATACCTTTAAAGAATATTTATTTATTCATTTATTTTTGTAAGAAAAATGTGTTTTAATAAATTAAAGAGTACAAAATCTATTAAGGTTAAATATTCTGGGGGGAAAAAAAAACTAGATCTTTCTGACATTTTCAAAATTTTGGAAAATTTTCACTGTCTAAAATTATCTATCATTGTTGCTTCTGAATTTCAGAATTATCTTTTATTTTTAATTCTGGCTAGAGGAGGGGGGATGTAACATATTGCCTAAAAATCACTGTTACTAACTTAAAAAAAACTATGAATGCAACCTAGATTCGTTACATGAAATATTTTATAACATATAGCTTTATTTTATATAGCGGGCAAAAGCCTTCTGAAAACAGCCTTTATTATTTAAGTACAGGAAAACTCAAAATTCATATTTCCTACAATAAATATATTAAAATAAGTTTTCTTTTCAAACTTCACTCATATGTACATAAAGAGTGGGAATTCAATAACAAGATTAAGATAATCAATGAGAAAAAGTTGATCCATTTGACAGACGACGACACTAGGGAAATTATTGAGGCAATAAAAGGAAACAAATAATGTAAAAATTAAGAGTCGATGGACTAGCTGCTTACGTATACTTCTTCCAAGGTCATTTCATTCTGACTTGTAATGAATAACATATGAAATATTTTATTTAAATGATGAAGTTAGAAGAAAATGAAAAAGGTTGATAAAATTTGTTATTCGATTATTTTTACCAAATTATATTAACTAAATCGATCATAACAATTTAATATTGAGATATCTTGGGTCTTCATTTTATTTATATTATTTTCACAAGCTTCTGATGATATGATATTTTTATCTGTAAATTTTTTAGCATTTTTATTGTTCTAACTTTAAAAATTTATGTGGAATTTTATAGGAAATGTGAAAATTTTTCACATATTCTAAAATCGTAAGAAATTAAAAAATTATAACAAAAATCTTAAATAATTTCGATAAAGTAAATGTATTTTGTCTGTAGCTAATTTTTAAATAATCCTATTCAATTTTTTTTTTATATCCAATGTAAAAGTTGAATTTCCGTTGAATGTATCATTTTAATAATTTCAAATTTTGTTGTTTGAAATAAAACAAGGAATAAATGACACCTGTAATCACATGCAGAGGAAAAGATTACTATTTTTTACTTAGTGTGTTTGGGTGTCTCTTCCGGAACTAGTACACGAACTCGTGACCTCATGTGTCACAGACATGGGAACCACAGGGTGTTCCGTAATGACAGCCTTAAATATATTTTTTTAAATGCTTTTCGAAAATTAAGAAATTTTTTTTCTTTTTCAGGTCGAAAATTAATATTTGAGTGAGGAATAAACAAAACCGCTATCGAAATCTGTAAAATAATTATTGACGGATGCGAATGAGCAAAACTCGTTTGATTATCGTTTGAAACTTGAAGGTGTTTCTAATAATCATCTTTTAATTCCTTTTTGACTCTTCTTACATTCAAACTGGTTTTGTATATAACCTCCTTCCTCAATAATGATTTATTAAATTTCTATAGCGTTTTTGTTTCTCAATCGCCTATATTGCAAGTAATAATTTTGGAGCCGCCAATTTAAAAAAAAAAAAAAAATTTAGATTTCATTTTCGGAAATTTTTTTTTAAAACAACACATTAAGGTTAGTCATTGTGGTATACCTTGCATTTGAGCTTTAATCTAATCAACCACACCAATAAAGTCAGTAGAAGTATGATGTAAATATATTGTTGAGAATATTTTAGAAATTTAACTAACTTAAATTCCCAAGAGCTAAATAGTGATTAAGTGAAATTAAACTAACCTTATATAACAAATCAGTATCCGGGTCTTTTCCGTGAGCGATTTTACAAAATACGCAGCAATTCCACCGTTCGATTACATTTTCTTCTAACAAAGTTCCAAATGGATTATAATAAAAATCTGCTGTATTTTGTTGCAGAGAGATTGGAGACAACGACAGCTTCCGCATAACTCACTTTGAACCACTCAAATGAAATAACAATATTTTAGCCACAACTTTAAGAATTTAACTTAGGCAACGCCTCTCTCCGACTCTGATTGGTTGTTCATAGCCCGCCATTCGAAGGCCTTTATTTCTTCCGTCTGTATTGTTTACATGTGCAAGTAAACACAGTTTGATTTTCGATATTGTTAAATATATACACAATTAGTGTTTGACAGTTAGTTATAAGTTTTTACAGTCTTTTTAGTGAACATTAATATGTGGAACGCGATGGGTAAGTTTATAAAATCTTGGTAAATATAGCTACTTTTTTCACGTTCTGTCATGTAGACTTGTCATTGTAGTATTTTGCGCCAAAACAGCAAACTTTATCTTTTTCATATTTCTGTTCTTAAATTTGAAAACTTTTGGCTTCGTTTCAATAAAAATTTCTGTTCAATTTTTTTGAATATTTTTTGTGAAGCGATACTATAGATTCTGAATGAATAAGTACAAGATGTAAAAATCTCATTCTTAAATTATAACCCTATTTCTCTGTTTTGCTTAACTTCCAGTTTAAAATATCTCTTAATGTAACTTAAAAGTTTTCAGATGAATATTTATATGTTTTTTTATTTGATCATATAAGTAAAATTCAGCTGTGCTATTTTATTGTTATGCTGTTGTTATTTAAATATTATATTATCTGAAGCTGTCATTAATTTAAGTAAATTAATTAATTGAAAAACAAGGAACTTATAAGTCTTAAACCAGCTTGTTCCTCTCAATTATTTATTTGTCTTTGCACTGAAATTATTTTTAATTAACTTTCTTAAGCAATTAAACCAAGCTTGCTATGGGAAATTAATTACAGGCTTTCAAAAATCCAATTATATAGTATGGGTTTTGAATCTAATATTTTTTGCTATGTTGCCCCTGAAATAAATTAGTGCCCTGATGTAGTAGACTCCATACCCTTTTTTTCCTCAACCCTTCTTTATTTCCCCCCCCCTCCAAACTCTGCAATGGATTTCTTTCACTTCTGTTATTTTCAACTTTTTTTTATTTAGTTTGTCATTGCTGTCAATACATAGAATTATATAGGAAAGGAAAAATAGCCATCTTGTTGCACTTGTCTTTGAAAGTTTGCAGTTACTTCCCCTCTCATTAAATTATAATTATTATTGATCATATTAATTATTAAATCATAACTACAGACACTTAAATACATACATTTATTATTTTATTAATATCTGCATGCATTTTTAATAAATTACTAAGCTAATTAGCTCATTAACTCGATATATATGTTAATTTATTTATAAAAATTAGTGATTAATATGATTGCCTTGCTACTTTTAGTAAAGTAAAAAAAAAATCCTTTTACTAATTGGCAATGATTTTTAATAGAACGTGTAAAGCCCATAGAAAGAAATTACTGCCTTTTTAGAATAATAATGCCCTTTTTTTAGACTTATGCACCCTGCCCTTTTTTCTGCTTAGAATGAGCTCTGATATTATGACAATTTATACTTAAATCTGTTTTACTTTGCAATCACAATTTATATATAAATAAAAAAAAAAGGCTTTCTGGCACAACTCATTTAGTTTTGCATTTATAATAGGTTTTGTTCTTTAAAATAATTTTCAAGTTAGCAAATTTGTAAAAGGATGTCCACCAATAAGCAGAACCAACAATGTTAGTTTATTTGTAAAACACTTTAACTGGTTATAATGAAGAAAAATTTATGAGGCATTCTGTCCAGTTGCACATTTCAGAGCATATCTAATATAGAACAATAATCAGTTTATCCATATTTGGTTTTAAGGCATAGAGTTAGTAGTTTTTTTATTTTATAATATTAACTTCTATTTTAAGAATGTTCTGAATTAATAACTAAAATTTGTTTGTACATTTTAGAGTAATTAAATTACTCTCATATTATATGAGATTCAAAGTTACCAAATTAGAGAAAATTTCTGACAGAGGTATTAATGCATTATTCATTTCTGAAATCTTTAACACAATTAAACTCCAGGCTATGGTGTAAATTCAATATTTTTTTAACATTTGTCTGTTTGATAATAATTGTGTTCTTTCGGAGGCCAGTGGGCTACATATTTCTTTGATTAAATATCTATATAGATGCTAACTCTTCTTGCATTATTAAAAATTAAAAACATAGGAAGAAGTTTTACTTTTTTTGTCAAAATTCCTTTGCATTTATAAACACTTGAAATTTTATACTTATTTCATTCTGTTTTTGATGTGATTTACAAGTTTTTAGCAGAGTAATATATTCAATTATTCAAAACTACTATATGTGTATGTATGTGTTTGTATATATGTACACATAACCCTACAATAACAAAAGAGACCTTTTCAGTTATTGACATTTTTTTTTAAAATTTCACAAGAAATATTTAAAGGATTACTTTGTAACTTTGGAGATGCAATTTTCCTTACTTAAGGATAAGATTTAAAGCTCTCAGAGGTTTGGGTGACCTGCAATAAATTGTGAAAGAAAACAAGTATTTTAGAAGTATTACCCCATGCCAGAAAGTCAAGCAATAAGTAATTAATTTTAAAATTATTAATTATTTTATTTCAATGTAATTGAAATTTTAAAAAAAATTCAATTATCTCAAGATTTGTTAAGTATATTGAGAATGGAGGGCAGTGATTCTCAACCTTTTTTTGTGGCGGCGCACTTTTAACGATTTCGAAATTTGACGGCACACAATGTGAAGAATTAGTTTAAATGTTGTTTACTTACCTATAATACACTGTGTGAAATAGTTTGTGATGATCATTTTGAACGTGAAATAAAATAATATGTACTACAAAAGCATGTTTATTAAGAGATTAATTATTTCTCTCGACTCATTTTTAATTAGTAACAGTTATTTTTTTTTTTTTTGCTAGTTATTAATTGTTAACTTATTTTCTATAGTTGTAAACTGTTAGTTTTTTTTTGTTAGTTATTCTTTGTTAATTTCCTTTAAAACTATTAATTGAATAGCTTACTTTAATGATTAGTTTTTATTTCCGTTTGAAGGTTAAGATTTAGTTTTCTTTCTTTTGTTAATTAATAATTTTAATAGTCATTAAACTCTCTACTTATTTAAATTTTTTTTAAAATTGCTTGAGACAATTTAAAGACAATACAATCGTCGACAAAGGTGTGCAATCGGTTAAAGCCGGAAAAAATTATGAAAAGTATATATGGGTCATTCTCACGAAAACTGTCATTTTTCAGTTCATGAAATCCCAAAAAAGTAAANATTAAATATATATGTAAACTTTTCTTTAATTTAAGCTTTACTCGTAATAAAAAAAAAGCATTATAATTTTTATCGCATCATTTCTAATATTTGGCTGCACATTTTAAGAATTTGGTGGCACACAAAAGTGCCGCGGCACAGTGGTTGAGAATCACTGATGTAGGGTAACAATGTTATAATTTTGAATTAATTTTTTTACATAATTAAATAAAGTAATTATTAATTTAAAAATAGATTGAGCCACTTAATATTGAATATCTTTAATATCGTGTATAAATTGATTTTATGGTGACTAATATAATCAAGAAAAGAATTCTTTGTCAGAAACAAGTTATTTTACCATGATCATGCAAAGTCTTAGGATATTATTTTGCATTTTGTTAATGTATTAATGAAAAACTTTCAATGATATGAAGAAGAAAATTTTTTTATTGGTGCGCATAGCCTAATTCCAGGATTGCGATTTTGATGTCAAAAATTGGTTTTAGACTTGGCACATCAAAAGCCTGTGGAAAAGTATCAAAAATTGCTAAAATCAGATAAAAACTGTCAGAAACCTGGGCAAGTTTTTTTTATTAACATTGGAGACATTTTATTACATTACTTACTTACACAATACTTGCATTATATACTACTATAATTGTGCAACTTATTTTTAAAAATTTTTTTTTTTTACTCTTAATGTTTGTTATTATTACTTATATGCAGGTTAGCAGAATATATCTTATCAAGTGAATGAGGTTTTGAGGACACTTCAGGCAACTAAAGGAAATTTTACAGTCTGAAATAATTCCTACAAATTTTTTTATTATTAAAAAATGTTCCACTTTGCAAATTTTTTTCTATTGAAAAGCGTGAAATGTCAGTTTGTGTATTTATTAGTTTGAGTTCCTTAAGTTAATGAGTGATACCTTTAATTTAAGGAATACGAATTTATTCAAGAATTGTGTAAAATCAAATAAATTTCTTTTCTTACATAAACTTTACTTTCCAAAAATCTTTTAAAAATGTTCTTGTTACTTAGAGAAAAGAGAAAAAAATAAAAAATTTTAATTTTAGGGAAATTTTGATCAAAAAAAAACTTTGTTCTGAGGAAATATTTGGGGACTGAAAATTTTCTGCTCTCCTGGTTATATGTGCATGAATATTTCTAATAAATCATAAATACAGTATATTGTCTGATAAGTAATATAATTACAATTTTCAAAAAACATAAATGTTTGTTTAAAACAGTTGTTAATTTTTTAAATATTCAATTCAAGTTTTTAATTAAGTTACCATCAATATTTATTCCAATTATTAGAATAAATGTCTTATTACTTGTTATTTTATTAATAGTTTTTTAGGTCAACATTCTAGTCTATACAGCTGAGCATCGATCGAAACAGTTTCATTTTCGGTTTTATTCATACAAAACTGAAAAATGGACTTGGAGTACTGAGGGCTTTAAAACTATTTTTTTGTAATCGCTGACTTAGGGGGAAAAGATGAGTTAAAATGGTAACTGAAAACTGATTTTACACATACAAAATAAGATGAGTGATGAATGTTAAGTGTTTTTTTTATGAAATAATTGTTTTTATATATTTTTTAATAATTAAACAAATTAAGGGATTGGATAAATTGAAATTTGACTCATTTTTCTTTATAATTATTTAATATTTTCTACACCAAAATTTGGACTTCTGACAGTAATTTATCCCAATACTTGGTCCTGGAGTTCCATTGTCTTCTGGATTAGGTTCAAAATTACAAGGCTACGGAGTTTAACATTACTCGTTGTAAACCAAAAAAAAAAAAAAAAAAGTGGATCGACCATTCAACGACGTTTATAATATAAAATAAAATTGTCAAAAAGTTGCCACCCCTGCCTAATATTTTTTGAGTGCTTAAAAGGTGCTTATTTTTTATTGTAAAATTTGGCTACGCATCCTGCTTTGATTTCCGCATAGTTTTTAAAATCCGATAGTTTTTCTTACGATATTGTTTCTTACAACAATCAAATCTTGA